GAAAACATAGTCCACATTCAACTGAGTAATAAGCTATGGAGCTGTGGTCTTAATGCCAACTTTAACATCACCCTGAGGTTGCCCGCATTTCCTCGGAACTGGGTTGAATTTGACATGACTACAGTTGGACCGTTGGTATTGAAAGTGCGAGTGCATTTGTGCAGTGAAAAATGTGTGTTAAATATAGACTTACTGTTAATGAGTAGTGCTTTTGCGTAGTTTTCCGACAAAATGGTTGGGAAAATGGACAAACTAATTTATTTTCCTTGTAATATTAAATTTTAAAACCCTTACAGCGATTAACTAATTGCATAGTGATGCAATATAAAATATTAAACGCAAAGTTGAATGCTAAGTAATGCTGTGTAAAATCTAATTTCAAGCGCGCTAGTATATTGGTGAACATCTAAAATTGTTATATATTTTTTAATATTTTCAGCAGTATTTTGAACACTTGACATCAAAATTTTAATAAATAAAATATAAGTACTTACATAATATACTTGTAAGTAAGCATTTCAAGAATTTTTGAAATTACACAACAAAAAATGAGAATGCCAACGCGGATTACTCTTCTCTGAATTGAAAATTATACGTACCTTTCTATTGGGCGGAATTCTGGAGCGTTTGGAGAGGTTTCCTCTTTTTTAACAAATTTGGCATTGTTGTTCTTCAAAGCCAAAGATAAATGAGCGTAGTGTGCTGCCGCTTAATCGGTCCAAAACAATGTTGACACAATGTGTTTCTTATAAAACTTTAATAGAAGGCTATATACTACGTTTTGGTTTCTTGTAAATGGTGTTCTGTTTCGAGATTCCCTAATTTTTTAAAGAAGAAATACACAAACTTAATGGAATATTTAACATTTATCTTTTGAAAACTACATCTTTGAAATGTTTGGCACGGCTACGTCTCAGATGATCAAATTTCCGATAGCTCGTTTGGGCATTTCGACTAGTAACTGGCGAATGACACGCGTGATATTATGCTCCAAGGCCTGAATCGAAGCTGGATTATCTGCATAGACTTTAGACTTTTCATAGCCCCACAGGAGGAAATTAAACAGTGTGATATTACACAGTATTGGTGGCCAATCGACAAACCACGCCAAATACATACAATATATAATATGTACTTATTTATTATTCGATATCATTTGACGTTTCGTAAGGAATGCTCCAAGTAATTTAAGTTCAACAGACTGCGTGATTGTTTGCATATTTTCCAGTGATCTGCTATAGATTTCATAAACAGGAATTAGAAAGAAATTATACAATATTACAGAAACAAGTTCTAGTCAGTACTTTACTTAGTATGCACCTGCAAAAGTGTCAAATATACTAAAAAATTGTTGTTTTCTATTTCTAGATTACAAACTAAAGAAGTTCAGTTCATGATAATTGAAATAAAATTCACTTCGTAATAAAATAGTTGTACAATATATAAAACCAATAATGCGCATAAAATTTGATTTTTCCTATAACTTCCCAGATTACTTTGCAGTTCACTGCAATCACGTGTTATTTCACCACACCGCTGAATGCTCGTAAAAGCGGCGGTTAAGTCAACCATTAAACTTTCTGTAACGACAGTTAAGCCATAAAAAACAGCAACTAATTGGTTATAAGTGGTTTTACGTGTATTTCTCTTATGCGTTAATGGTTAAGTTGCATACATGCCCTCACCAACTTTGATTGATTGTTCAGCGTATTGAGACTTGTGCATGGAATTTCATAAAAATTACCCTTTATACATTTAGCTTACTTACAATTAATTTGTTAATATCCCTTATCAAAACTATTGCAGCGAAACATTTTGTCAACCAATAAAAACCAATTTCGAGGTTCAGCTGTAGATGGCATTATTACATATAAATCATGTAGCTTTCTTAAGGAGTTACAGAGGCAACTGTGGGCTAAAAGTTAAAAAAAAAAAAATTGCGCGTGGTTATGCCCACTATGAGATTTAATATTTATACCTAGACCACTTAAGGCACGATATTCAAATTCGCTCAGAACAAGCACTTTAACTAACACTGTAAACTTGGATGAAATCGAAATAAAGCTTTGTCTGTGTCCAGATCAAAATATGTGATCAAATTTCCATTTGCGAACTTTTTATCAAAAATATCGGAAATTGTTATTTAAATTCCCCGAGTAAATGGTATTTCAACAAAATATATACACATATACAAGTATATATATATTGGTACTTGAAAAAGTTTTTTTGTATTTCTATTCAAACTTATTTTTGTTTTATACTGCACGAACTGATATAGCCTGGTATCCGTAAACTTCACAAAGACTCATCAGATGTTGTCATCGTTCATTCCCCTGCAACATATAGCAGAACGAAGATGATGAGTGACTTTGGTCTTTATTCCTCGGATGAGGATTTTACTTCGCAATGCCAGCTCAGTTCGAAGTATTACTTGTTGGCAAAATTTTTTATGCTTTGATTTCGAGACTGACGTTGCTGTTGGTACTGGTTTCAAGGAGACGAAATTATCCAATACTTAGAAGTTATGATTGTCAACAATGACTTCTTTACCTTGTTCACTACCAGGCTTATTTGCTTCACTTCTTTCTACACAGTGGAGAAAGCAGAGCTAACGGCGCGTAGGTTACGGCCAATAAAATCGATGTCAACGGCGTACGCCAGCAGTTGTACACTCTCATAAAGATTGTACGTTATCTGTTGAGCTCTGCTGCTCTAATTACTTCGTCCGGAAGTGTACTGAAGAAGTCGCCATATAGGCCGAAACCTCGTTTGGTATCGAACTGCTCGGAGAGGTTCTTCCAGACACCGACGGAGCTTTTGGTATTGCCTACGTTAGTTTACACAGTCGTATTTGGTTGGTGGTGATATCCAATGCAGACGTAGTGGCATGAAAGCAGCTAATTTTCGTATTATTAAAAGCAGTCGACACCATTTCGATGTGACACTGATAAGGCCAATCGGTTTGTTGACGGTGGGCTTTAATCTTTCACACAATACGCTCCATACCTTATATGAAATGTTTAGGAGACTAATTCGTAGTAGTTGGCGCAAATTGTGAGGTCTCCCTTTTTGTGAAATAGGCGGAACACATGAAATTCCAATTCCAAGGCATGCTTTCGTCCGACCCTATTCCAAAAAAATCTGATGCATGCTCCTTATCAGTTCTTCACCGCCATATTTGAATAGCTCGGCTGTCAATCCTTCGGCCCCAGCCACTTTGTTGTTCATCAGACAGGTAATTGCTTTCGAACTTTTCATGGTTGGGCAATGGAATATCTGCTCCATCGTCCTCACATGGCGGGTCACAAACACAGCAGACAGCTCTGGAAAGAAAGTTTCTTCTTCAGCTCGCCTTCAAACGGGTGTTGTTTGGCTGTCCAGAGGACTAAGCCTTGAACAAAAAAACTTCTAGAAATAGAATTTTTCACCCTAACAACAAAGCACTTTTAAGTTGTGAATATCGACTCTATTTATTAATTTCTCAATTTAAATATTCAGAAAATTGAAGCGAATTATAGAAAGCTAATTTATTATTGTTAAGAAAGTATACATTATATTTTGAGGGTGGATTCTCACTGGGGTTGGTTATTTCATATTTTAATAATAATAACAAATTGCTTATGAAATAACTTGGTCAATTGAAAATTGTTGAATTCATATAAATATGTACTTCAATGAAATGGTTCAATATTCTGCTTTAGAAATCGAAATTGTTGGTGAAATAACCGTTCCATATTTGTAGTTGTTCTTATAAGTGAGCACACATCTAAGCACATATCCACACATTTCATTGCAAGGAAATTCATTAAATAAAGCAGTTAGTGGAATTGGCATTAATTGAGACGGCATTTGTAGTGTTTCCGGGCATATTACCGGCAAAAGTTCATTCACTGCAAACGTGAATACATACTCAACCAAGCATGTCGGGTTTCACTAGAAAATTATAAATTTCCTGAAGACAATATGTAGTTATAGGAGAGTCTTTACAATTATTTGTAAAGCCATGCTGCAGGAATATCACAAAATCTCTTAGGTACATACACAAAGCAAAAGCCGTTTCCGTGAAGTGACTTTAAACTATTGTGTGGCAAGTTTTCAATTCGCTGTGGCATTTTCCAAACCAGCATATTCGTCAAATAGGTGTTAAAGAACACAGAATCCGATTTTTAAAATCTTCTGTGTTTAATGTTGAATTTATTCATCCATATAAACAGTTACTGATGTAGTTGTTGGCTTTGTAACGGTCATCTAGTCTCCGTTACGGTGGTAAGGTTCAGAAATCGGTATTTGTCATTGATGTCATCCAACGGTACGCCTGGAAAACGTGCTATTTCGACGGGGCCGGACCATAGCTTGCTGAGCATATAAAGAGGTGGTTAGAGACATGCTGTGACTCATTGCACCCTGCTCCTATATTTGGTATGTCGGGTTCAATTCTGGATAAATAGGAGTTCACACGAATTGGTACCGGAATTTTTCCCGATTTAATCCGATCAAGGGCTGCTTTTTCGGAGATCTAACCCCATCTGAATTAGTGAGTTTCAAATTTATCGTCGCCGACAATTAATATACTCACAGTCATCGTGGTGATATTTCGTGTAGAATATGTATGACCCACGCGGTCTTTTAAGATACTTTTTAAGACACCTACCTGCTAACATGGATAGAGCATGAACTTTTTACACGGTATCCTCTGCAATAGCCGTTTTCGGAGCGACATAGCCGTCGACTAACTTCAAACTCAAGAATCGAATCAACACGCGATATTGCCGTTTATCATAAAATCCACAAGCTCTGCCGCTTACACACACATTGAAAGCAAAAATTGTTAATTCAATTAGACTGACACAGCACGTCCGCGATATTTTTATACTGAGAAGTAACATATATGGGTAAATTAATCCGTCGGTTTTATTTAATTGTATAAGTAACTTAAATTAAGAAAACGTTATTCTCTACAACTATTTACTCAACATTTCTTCATTTTCCTCCATTTCCAGTAGCACAAAATGCCGCCAAACACGAATACGAACACCGAAGAGCAGCTGCCGGAAGAGTCGACGCAAAGTCTGGAACCGGCCGATCAGAAAGTGGAAGAGACCACGCAGCGTGAGGTGTTCCGTGAGCTAGCGCAAAAACAGGCGGAACAACAGCAGGCGGAAAGTCAAAAAATGTTCACCACTTTGACACCCAAAACCACAACAGAGGCTGAAGGTAAGACCAGTTTTCAGATATCCTGTACTTACGTCATAATATTTACTATGATATTCTTTCGTCTACACCATCTTTGCAGAGGAACCAACCACAACAACTGCGTCTACCATCCAGAAAATCGGACATGCCGGCGAAGTGGTCACCGAAGTGATTGCCGAGAAGACCGGTCTGCCCACATGGGGCGTGGTGGCAATTATCATACTGGTATTCCTCGTCGTCTTTGGTATACTCTTCTTTTGTGTACGTCGTTTCTTAAAGAAGCGACGAACCAAAGATGGTAAGGGTAAGAAGGGTGTCGATATGAAATCGGTACAATTATTAGGATCGGCGTATAAAGAGAAAGTAAGTATCAACAACGCTATCATTTCTTAGTAGTTATTGGGTTCTGGTATGTCATAGGTTCAGCCTGATATGGAGGAACTCACCGAAAATGCTGAAGAAGGCGATGAGGAGGATAAACAAAGCGAGCAAAAATTAGGAAGACTGAATTTTAAGGTAAGATTACTGTGAGCTTTCCAGCATCTTGGCGTTGTACAAAAGTCCACACTCTAGTGACACATCAAATGTGTTGTCATGGCACACAAGGAGCAAAGCAAACGTTAGCGTAAAGAATTTAAGAAAGTTGCAACAGTACTTTCAGATATCTTTTTATTATATTCAACCTTTTATATTAAATAATTTTTTAATACTTCTGTCTCAAAAGTAAAGTTTAATTACATAGCATTAGATTGAAATGTCACTAATTTTGTTGTTGCACATAAAATTTGCATTCGCATTTTTCCAATTGCATCATACTTCTTGGACTCACGTACATTAAGCTCCTTTACTCTTGACTCAATTAAATTAAACCAATATTAATTCTTCAATAATGTAAAACTCTCCGGTGTTGTTGGAAGACTCTCATAACAGTTGATAAAACACGTAAAGTATGTTTTGTTGGCCAACTACTTTTCTAAACCCCAAAAGATGCTTTACTTCTTTTTAAAAACGACATAGTTTTTATACATTCAATGGACGATGAGTTTCAAAACAGACTGATGTGCCTTTTCAGTGAGCTATATGACTAATTTTTAGTATGGAATTTATTTTGATAACTTATATGTTATCTATTTTGTTATGTTAATTTATCAGTAAGAGAACAAAGCTGAGATGTAATAAGCAAAGAAGGCGACTAATTTCCCTCCACACACTTGACCTGCTAGAAAATGTTTATGGCTAGGTTAAGGTCGCCGATACGTTTTATTACCTAAAACTTCTATATACCATAATAGATCATAAGATATTTCAACTTCAGTCTTGCAGAGGCTGAGGAGTGGAGGAGAAAGTGCCTCTATGTTTCCACCTTACTCGCCTCCTTAAAATTTTTATAACGTGCCTCCGTCCATGTTTTTAGCCTTGCACCAAGAATACGTATTGGACACCTCACGGTGCCTCAGACCTCAGGTCTATAATTCTAGTGCTAGAATCCAAGACGTTCTCTCACCTCTCTTTAAAAAGTTGCACTTCGTGTCAACACGTTTGCCGCCATCTTAATAGCAGACAGTTCTGCCTGAAAGACACTAAAGTGGTCCAGTAGCTAAGCTCGACGCAGAACTCTTTACAAAAGACTGACTCTCAAACCCTGCTTTCTAGCTCGACACATCCGTAAAAATCTCATTGCGAATTTTATCCAGCGACTCCTCCCTATCCACATGTCCCTCGTCGGTATGTGAGCAGAGCTAAAGCCGCGACGAGTAGCCTCTGGGCCGCAGTGATCCAAGTTTTCAGGAACGTAGTTGAAGTAAAAAAGAACTTCTTAGAGCGCGCTTCGCAGCAATTAAGCTACTTACATTGTAAAATATCATGAAGTAATTGTAATTGTTGCTGTTGATCCGTAGTGCACTGGAGATGGCGATGAGAACCGCTCTTTTTACATGTTCAACCGCCTTTAGAAGTGAAAGCCTTCAACGCCCTCCACCCTTCGAATACACCATACAATATTTTAACTGTGGTTCTATTAACATCTTACAAAACCACAATGAAGTATGTCCGTATGAGACTTTCATTACGATTTGGGAATCACGTTAAGATTTCAATTCCATAATTGCCATAAGCTGCTAATGACAGGCTGACATGTCGACAGCATTCAATAAAGATGAGTTAAGTTCACGTAGGAAATTAAAATAGTTTCCAGTTCCCAAAGTAACATAACTATCCTGACGAGAAAGCTTAACGATGGGGCTACTGAACAGGTGATAGACAAAAATGGGAACTGAGTTAAAGAAATCCCGCGAGAAGATTTAACGAAATCAATTCGATCTTCGGCTTTTATAACGAAATATGGCAATTTTACTGCAACTCGACGTCGAATTAGCCCAATAAAAATACATAAAGAGTCCTGTGACCGATTTGTCCTTCTCCAAGTACTCCATGTAAACGATATTTTGTGATTCCTAGAAAACGGTAACCTTCCCGTTCCATAAACAAATATTTACTTTCTTCAAAGCAGATTCGCCGACTAAAGTTGCTGTTCCCACCCTAAATTGTTTAGTCTCTGCTGACAACGCCAAATATTTCAGGCAGATGGTATCTCTTCTTCTCGCAATCCGATATTACAATTTTATGTTTCTAATTTTTTAAGTAATTAGCAGATGGTCTGCCCTGTTAAACCAATATTATACCGATTTCTTCATAGTCTCTACATTTCTAATTATGTACTTGGGTCCTCCACACTCCAACAACACAGGTAGAATATCAAATTCCTAATTTTCGAGATTGAGAAAAATTATTTTCAGTAAATCTTATATCCCACATATTAGTATAGACCACATATATTAATCAAGTCACAACTGCACAAACTGATTCACTAAGTAAAAACAATAAAAACACACATTGCGCCTAATCCTATTTGATTTTCAAATACCAGAAATAATAACAAAAGAACTAATAAGTATGTTTTTCTCTAATGTCGCCGCTCCGCAAATGGCTGGATTGCATGAATCTGCTTCAATACTCTTCACTTGCTCTCTTTTTCTCTTTTTTCTACGCTTTTTGTTTCTCTTTTTCTCTGTATGTCGCTTTGCTCTTACATTTAATAGCTCGAATATGACTTCAACTCGAACAGCTTAGCGGTCACCGTTATACAAGCCGAAGAATTGCCCGCGCTTGATATGGGCGGCACATCAGATCCTTACGTTAAGGTATATTTGCTACCCGACAAGAAGAAGAAATTCGAAACCAAAGTGCATCGCAAAACACTAAACCCGGTCTTCAATGAAACCTTCACATTTAAGGTAATATACCTATTTTTTCTATTCTACAATTTGTTAATGAAAAAATGTTTATCCTCGTTGTCAACTGCTAGAGCTTGCCCTATGCCGATGCCATGAACAAGACGCTCGTATTTGCCATATTCGATTTCGATCGTTTCTCTAAGCATGACCAAATCGGCGAAGTGAAGGTGCCACTTTGTACTATTGACTTGGCGCAAACTATCGAGGAATGGCGAGACTTGGTCAGCGTTGAAGGTGAAGGCGGACAGGTATGTGATACTGGCTGTGCTGGCGCGCAGCGTTGCCAGCTGTTAAGAGTTAACTTTTTCATTTTCACTTTATTTTCAATTAACAAAAACGTTGTACTTCTACTAATTTATTATTACTTTCTTCTAAATGTAAACGTAACTAGTAAAATACAAAAGCAAAAAACAACGACAAAAATAAACTAAATAGATTTCTAAGTCCCTAAGTATAAATATACATTTCAAAGAACTGCAATAAAAAATATAACGGGTTTGAGTTTCTAACTTAAGTGCTAGCATTCTAGTGCTATTAAAATTTCAAAGTCTAATTAAAAGCTCAAAGTGCAGTAACACAATTTTTATACTCTTGCAACATTTTTCTACAGGGTATAATACCTTGTTCACCTAACGGTTGTACGCATCACCTAAAACTAATCGAGATAAATTTAAAGTTGTATATATATAAAAGTTCAGGGGTTGAAATCCGAATGTCTGTCTGTCTGTCCGCCATTTAACGAAAACCTATTAAGTGCCATAACTAAGCACTAAAAAGATATAGAACAGTGATTTGGAACAGAAGATATGCATAGCAAGGGACACCATTTTGAAAAAAGCGGGCATAGACCCCCGAATGATAACCCCGCCCACTCCTCATATAATGGTACAGTTTTAGGTACAATCACAAATACGACCGATGTCAACCAATTTCGGTACGTAATATTCCCCTATTCTCACGGACAGACAATTTTAACATCTGAGCCTTTCACTTTCCCGTGTACAAAGTAAGAAGCAATTAATATAACAGTATAAAACTTTGCACGAATAATGCCTATAGCGTATGCCATCTTATGACCATAAATTGTTCAAATCAAATAAAAACTGTTCAAGCCTCTAGGTAACGAATATGTAGACCGTAGACCCAGTGCTTTTAGTTGGCTTATTACCGAAAATATCGGTAAATATTTGAGATATATAATATAAATTCAGGGAACATCTTTTTCTGACATCGGGGAGTCAGTGTGTCAGAAATATGTTGAATCGTAGATATCAATACTTTCCTGAGCCCCATATACCTAATATAAAGTTTTTCGAACTTCCATGTGACTTTATACCGCATATATTAGCCAACATTTCAGTTATCTCAAAGAGAAACAAGAGAGCGTGTTTTGTTCACAGAAGTGTATCTTTGTGCTTAAAATAGATAAATTTGAGCGAACACTTGACAATATAACATCCGGGTGACTTCACTCCATATAATTGGTAATGTAACCTTAATGAATCTGACGTTTTTCTAATAAAACTTTAGTGGAATAGGTTGATCTGTTTATGAGTTATATATATATGAATACAATATAATATATATGTATATTGCCTGAATTCCGATCCTCTAGTTGACGGTCTGCTCCTTAGGGTATTTATTTGGCTTTGATTCATACAAGTTGCAAGGGTATAAAATGTTCGGTTGCACCCGAACTTAGCCCTTCCTCACTTGTTTAACATAATTTAATAATACTAGAGATAATGCATTGCTATAAAAAGTTAACTCGCGTGTAATGAGTATATTTTGTGTGTGTGTATAGTTGGACTTTTTTCGCGCAACAGTGTGTGTCAGTTAATTGTGTTACGTAATGACATACAAAGCAGCAGACAAATGCACAACCTCAGTACATAAAGAAATTTACAGGAACCACTGGCAACATTAATATGAAACAGCGCAGAAACCAACCCGTTTAGCTCAACACACCCAGTTCAAAATGCATTAAATAAACAAGAAATAAACTTTAAGCTTCCACTTTAACAACAACCCCCTACCAATAAAACAAAAAAAGTATTACGAGTAGATGAAAGATCTTAACAACCAGCCTTTATTAACCTAGCAAAAAGAAGTGCTTTAACGTATTTGAAATTTTGTTAATATGAATTATATACTTTGGAGATTATTTGGTTCTCAAATAATTTTATATAATTTTTTCTAGTTATTTCAACAGCACACCAAGCAATTTTACAATAATACTTTACTATAAAAGTTTAACCTCATTTTTACTTATCAAGGCGCTTAAGTTCCGCTCAAGGTCTTGAACATTTTTATATAGCAGGAAACTTAAAATTAAACAACATTTGCAATGAACAAAGCATTTAAATCAAACTCTAAACAAGTTTTTCTTTTCCACTCCCCCTCTATTTACTACAACCACTACTACTACTACTACTACTACTACTACTACTATGTACTACTACTACTACTCGTACTCACTACTCAAACTCAAAAAAATAATAAAAATAAAATTGATTTGATTCCGACCTTTCGTAGAAGGTAAATAAATACATACAAAACAACAACAAAAAATCATATGAATATTACTTTTTGTACTACTACTAATATTTCTTTAATTACCACCTCACGTTTATGCAATATAAATTTTTTTCGAAATCTAAAAATAAATATTTTCTGCATTTTTCTCACATTTTTAATATTGTAGTTAAATTTTTGTGTTTTAATTTTGTTGCAAAAACTTATTGAGTATTTAACTAATTACTTATATAAAAATGTACAATTTCACCATAGAATCAAAACGAAAAACCGGCGCAAAAATTATTGAATGAAATCTAATATGAGATTTGTGGGCATTTTTTAATTATTTGTAAATTAAAAATACAAACATTTATGCTACAATATTATTTTGTTGAGAAACTCAGATGCATTGCAGAGCAAACCCCTCCGGCTTTTATTGTACGAGAATGAAATATTAAAAATTATGTACTTGAAAATGACAACGTTGTTGGAAAATCACGAATGAATATAGAGAAAACAAAGCGTACATTTTAAGAAATTTTGACTCTTGTAACTATTTAATAACTCCTTACATGATTATCTAAAGTAAAAAAATACGTGTTTCAGTTAAAATCTCAACTTAGAAATTGGACGAAGGAAAAAAACTGAATTTTGAAATTTTGCCAGACAAATTTACAAAAAATAAAAATTTCAAGGAAAATTTCGCGACATTTGTAATCGAAAAAAATCCTTCGTTCAAGTTTTAAAATGTTGTATCCTACAGCTGTGTAAAATTTCATGAACATCGGATGAATAGTTCTCGAGAAATCTTGCCAACCGTATTTTTATTACTCGAATCAACTTGAAATTTTGCGATATTATATTCTTGAGGTTTGTAGAATTTAAAAAGACAATTAAGAAATTAGATTTTTGGAAACCCTTGTAGCTCCTTAATGAGCATACGGTAAATTGCAGTGACGGTCAAGCTACACTGATAGCAATTGAATCGAATTCATACAGTCCGCTACTATCACAAAATCAGCGCGCGAAAAATAATTCTACCTTCAATTGAATTTCAGAAAAACTTACGATGTAACATAAATACTAAAAATATGTTTGAAGATATTTTTTTGCTGTAGAACCATCCACAAATAAATTCTGCAAACGCCAGTAATGCACATATTATAGAGAGAGTGTGTCAGGAAACTAAATGCAATAAGCGACCGAAATAAACTGTAGCCATTTTGTGTGCCGGAACTTAAACGTATTGAAGGAAACGAAGTAGTAGATAAACGTACAAAATAAGCGCCAACAAAGGCCCTCACAGGTACAGATCAATCGACCAAATATCGTGGCAAACATGATCCGAAGCCAGAAAAACAAAACAAAGCAGGTAAAATTTCAACCTCACATATGTTCACAGTTTTCTGCTATTATCAAGGTGCATGTTTGAATTCCTTCCGGCCGATAAACTGTTAACAAGGAATACTATTTGAGTGTTACATTTCGTTTGCGCGAAACTGTTTTAAAAAGAGCCCGGAATTATGGATCGACAACAATATTATGCCGCAACCACCGTATTCAGCTGATATAGCTCCGGTTGACTTCTGGATATTCAACGAACTCAAACGACCTTCCCGGAGCGGTCAATTGTATCAGTTGAAGACATTAAACGTGAATCGCTAGGCACGTTGAACGCTATTTCGGAAATTGACTTTAACAACTGTTTCGACAATTGGAAAACACGTTGGCACAAGTGTATTGAGGCCAAAGGAGATTACTTTAAAAGAGACGACATAGATTTTGATGATTAAATCAAAAATTTTAAAATTATGAGTTAAGGGTTACTATTTTTTAACATAATAGTATGCACTTCTTCTTCTTAATTGGCGTAGACACCGCTTACGCGATTATAGCCGAGTTAACAACAGCGCGCCAGTCGTTTCTTCTTTTCGCTACGTGGCGCC